TTATGTGCTACTTTATAAGCGTTCGAAGGGGTTTATACATCCTATAAGATTTCCCGGGTCGTTGTAAAGCGTGTTTATGATAGGAAACCAATTTAGGTGGGCTTAAGGTAGACTTCGAGGAGGACATTAATCGCTGCAGAGAGCTTTCCCCACTGTTTTGGAGAGGGGGTGCAGAAGACCACGGAGGAAGGGAGGGTAACTTCCAGCCAGTTGGTGACCGCGGACACGCGAGCCCCAGGCTTTTAAGGGAGGGGGTGGGTGATCCCTGCACTGGACTTTATCCAAGCCGCTGGCTGACGCGCGCCACTGGAGTTGAGCAGATGCCCCGAGGCGGGCGCGCTCCTCTCTACCTCTGGCTTTCCTAGTTTAGAGTCTGGCTCGCCCTTCTCTCCTCAATGTCCATGCCAGGTTGTGTGTGTGTGTGTGTGTGTGTGTGTGTGTGTGCCAGTGCCATTGGGCGTGAGCACACATCCACACCCGCACTCTCCTGTGCCCGCCCATATATCATCCCCCACGACGCAGGCAGGGCCTTTCAAAAGAGGCAGGGGACGTCCCTAACGGGGCTAGGCCTGGCCCTGGCTCAGTGGCCCAGGCGGGCGGGTGGGGGGTAGCAGGCGGCGGCCTCACTCACTCCTGGTCTCTTTGGCTTACAGTGGCCCCCCAGAGGTCCCGGAAAAAGCGTTGTCCCTACACCAAGTACCAGATCCGAGAACTGGAACGGGAGTTTTTCTTTAATGTATACATAAACAAAGAAAAGAGACTCCAACTCTCTCGGATGCTCAACCTCACTGACCGGCAAGTCAAAATCTGGTTCCAGAATCGCAGGATGAAAGAAAAGAAACTGAACAGAGACCGTCTGCAGTATTTCACTGGAAACCCCTTATTTTGAGAGCTCCAGGAAACAGCCCCTCCCCGAGCCCCACTCGCCCACCCTCCTCCCCACCAGCCTGCCCTTCGCAGGCCCAGTGTCTTTGGGTTTAATGACGCCTCTTCTCTGTGGAACTTCACGATTCCTTCTCACGGTCAACTCGGGACCTCCCAGCGACAACTGCAGCCTGCGGAGGAGGCCGCGGACTTGGCCGAGCGGATCCTAATAAGGGGAAAATGGTAAATGCAAACGTCCCTTTCCAGTTTTACCGCCACTGTGCTGTTGTTCCCCCTCCCCCTCTCTGAGTCCTCTTGGGGACCCTGTGCATCCTTAGGGAGCTAGGCCACGGGCTAGAAGGCGCTGGTGTTTTGTTCTGAGCCTAAGAGATCCTTTCCTTACCCTTCAGTGAAGCGGTGAACGCAGATTATTTAAACTCTGGGAAATGTACCTTTGGTCGTCATATCAAGGCACAAGTCACTGTCTATTTTGTGTGTGAATAAATGGTTTCTAGTAAAATGGAGGTTACAGCTGTATGAACTTTCCTCTGTGAAGAAGCTAGTGCCTGATTAGGATCTTAGTAGTCAGAACCCCCTCTCCCAAGCAACTGAAAATCCAGGAAATAGTTTTCAATTATGCTAAAGTAAAGAGCTGTTCCCTCTAGGTTACATTGATTTTTAAAAATCACGCCAGTGATAAATTTCTGGATCCATGATGTGAACCAGCCATGTGGGTGCTACCTTCTCCAGGCAGTGAGGCTGGGGCAGTAGGCACTTACAAAGCAAGTCCCAATCTCCTCTCTTAGCCTAGTGAACTGGCTTTCTGAAAAGACAAAACAATTTAAAAAAAAAAAAATTGACCGAATAGCCCAGAGTTGATCCTAACAGAGGTACCAGTGTTCCTTGAAAGAAACCAAAATTAGAACCCTGGCTGGGGATGGTAGGAGTTTGCTAGAAGGAAGTTAGTGGGTGAAGAGGGCTTGGGGTCCTTGCAGGTTTCAGAGAGGGCCTGGCAGGGAATGTAAGGCCCCTTCCCTGGATGAGGGCCAGGGCTGCAGACCCATTTATCGCTTTAAGGTAAAGAATGTGGTGAGGGCTGCACTGCACTTTATGTTGCAGGGCCAGGCCAGGCTGTTTACAAAACCTTGAACTGTCTAGACAACACCATAAAAGCCAAAGTTCTAAACAGCTTAATTGGGTTATATTATACACCTTCTGGTGGGCCCAAAAGAGATTTCCGCAATGTGCAATAAACTAGAGAAGTGAGAAAAGCTTCTCTTTCTCTGAAGAGAGTGAAGTGAATCTTATGATTTTTAGCCTCTTATAAATCCAAACTCAAAATAGAAATCTGTGAGATTCACAGCAGTTTATGCATCTTTTGAGGTAGGATGCATTCTGAATGCTAGATTTTTTTTAATTGCTAAGGCTTTGGGGGGGAAGGAAAAACATAAGTGCATAAGTGTATGCCTTTGAACTTCCAAAATGTCAAGGTCATCACCTTTAACCTCTCTGAATAATTAGGCGCCTTAAGATTCTTCCGTGATTTTCCATTGCCACCCACTCTCCTGCATACATGCACACACTCAGACCACGCACACATTGACGGCCACACAGAATCACATTGGGGGCTTGCCATAAATCTAAGAAAATTCTTCATTTCAGGATCAATAACCTTAATTTCCCTTCAAACATCTGAGTAACTCAGTAGCAATCAGCTTCGTTTCTTAAATATTTGCGAGATTACGATACCTGTTAGTTTTCAGCTAGATTGTGGTGGTGGAGACTTTGGGGGTGTCTTGGAAAGTCATCTGTTTTGCTTTAATGAAGAACTGCAGTTTTAAAATCAGACGTTTGAGAGAAAAGTAAGTTCTGTTCATGCTGATAGCTTTGTTATATTTGAAAACAATTTGCCAGCCCACCAAATAAATTCTGGCATTTTCTAATACATGGAACATATATTTATGTATTTTTAAGGCATCCTTCAACCTTTGGTGAGAGGTGCAATAGAAAAGAAACAGACAATCAAATAATCTCGTTTAGAAGGATCTACCTTTGTTTAGAAGTCTAGGCATCGGTTAACAGGTCAATGCCCTAGTAGCATGTTCTTTCTAGGAGCTGAAAACTGGTCTATTTCATTCTCTCTTCTGTGTGTGTGTGTGTGTGTGTGTGTGTGTGTGTGTGTGTGTGTGTGTGTGTGTGTGTGTGTTTTAACTGCATCTAAATGTAGCAGGCTTGTCTGTCAGCCGCCAGTGACAAGTCAAACCCAGAGATACAGTTTCTCATATGCAGGAGCTTAGATAGCCACACGAGGGCGCGCTCACGTCCCCAAGCCGCGTTTGGCTGAGAGGCTTTGGTACCTTATCTTTGCAATAGAGTAATAGATTCTAATAAACAAAATGTTGGTCGGTTAGAAACAGGCAGCAGCTAAGGGGGTTGCTGTTTGTTTGGTCTAATAAGAAGCCAAAAGGTATAGATGTTGTATAGAGCCAGAGAAGAGGGGGGCAACCAGATTCCTGAGACAAAAGATCGCCTAATCGTTGTCTCATTGAAGATAAAGCTGTGGCAAACAATACCTTGGTATATAAACTTATGGGGGAGAAGGAGAGACTTTTAAAGGACAAATCTGTGTATTGTGAAATATGTCAGAACCATTGTGGGTTAACTGAATTAGGAAAAATCATTGTTTTTGTTGGTTTGAGTATGCAAAGTGCTACTCTGATTAGGATCCTTCCTCCCTGCCTCCCAAAACCCGAATGAGTCTTGTGAGCTCTCAGCCCACTGAGAGGATTAAAAGGTTTTGTTTAAAACAGATTAGGGTGTTGGAAATTTAGCTGAGTTCTATATTTAGAAAAAAATGACATGCATCTATGAGCGACAGTGTGGTTCTGAGCTAGGGGGCCCAGGAATGTGCTTGGTGTGGTGCTATTCCTGGTTACCGAGGAGGGGAAAAGCTAAGAGTTGGGATGCCTGCTCAGGGCCAGGCTGTGGCAGCAGTGGAGGCAGGCAGCAATCTCTTTTGGGCAAACATCTATGCTCCAAGGCATTGTGGAATGGGGATGTATTTGAAGCAAAGGGGTGTTCGGTGTAGTTGGCAACCCATGCCACTCTTCCAAGCTATCTGCCAGCCTTGAGGTGCAGAGTTTGATTTTAGCGCCGACCCTCAGAAGTGTTTAATCGCCGAGTGCCCTCCGTGCTCTAGCAAAGACCCTGACATTGGAATGTGCCTTTGTCCCTGTTGCCAGTGTCCTGGTCTGAGGTCCAAAAGGGAAAAAGAGGGCAGGGTTTCAGCACACGGGCCACGCTGAGGGAGGGTGCTTGTGCCCTTTTCCTTGAAGTTCATTGTGAAGAGCTGTAGCTCACAGAGCAGAATTAGCACTGGCCTCCCTGCTCCTCAATCTCCTGCTTTGCAAGCCCTGGCTCTAAGGCTGGGGCGCCTGTTGCTGGCTGCGTCTGAAGTTGGGTTGGCTTCCCAAGAGGCTGGGGCAACTGGACTCCCCGACAAGGTGCCGGCAAGAGTCGTGGGTGTTCCCCGTGGGCATCCTGGGCTCCGCCTGTCTGGCCATGGGTCCAGCTTAGCTATTGCAAAACGACCTTTCCTGGGGCCTAAGCAGTGCTTCCATCTCTGTGGGGTGAGAACCCCCTCCCCAGATGTCGTTGTGTGGCTCCGAAGGCGGCCCCAGCGTTGCACGGGGCCCCTTGGCCTTGGAGCCAGCCGCCGCGGACTGTGTCTGCTCAGCAGTCAGCAGCTCCTTTCCTCCGGCAACGCCCAACCAGGGCCTGATGAGGACCAGGGGCTCGGACCAGGGATTGATCAGGACCTTGGGAGGCTTAGACCCAGCCTTCCTCCACTGTTCAGAGTACGGGGCTCCAGCAAGGTGGCCGTGGATCCCGAGGCGTGCCAAGATCTCAGATTCTGAAGTGGAGAAAAATGCCGAAGTGGGAGCCTTTTGTGTATGTAAGGAAAGAGGCTCTCCACCGCTGGCCCTTCTGCGCTGCTCAGTAGACCCTGGTTGCCTTGGCGGTAGCACCCTCCTTCCATTTGCTCCCTCCACATCTTTCCACCTTGGCTGGATGCTGCTACAGAGTGCAACTCAGAGGGGCGCCCTGGGGAGGCAGCTTTTCATTTGTTCCGAAGAGTGACATAGCCCAGAGTCGCATCAGGACTCCAATTCAGGGCAACCCTAGGAGCCCCCAGGTCTTCTCAGGCCCAGGGCCTCCACTTTTCTTCCTGGAGACAGGAGGGTGCACATTCAGGCTACTTTTTGATTACAAAGGCTCATGTCTCACTCAGGTGACACCTTTAATTTTTCTCCAGAAAGAATCGTGCCAGGGAGAAAGTGGTCTTGGTACAAATGTGGTTATTCATCTCCTTTATGGTGCAATATTGATTTATTATTAATGGTAACTGCTCCATCTGATCTAAAGATGATCGAAAACAGCTACTGCATTAAATACTCTAAACAAAATAAGACTTGGCCTTTAAAGCCAGTGTCTTTGGATTCTGTTTGCATCATCTCCGATTTAAGCTCTTTAGACACTTTCCATCCTCCTGCGTCCAGCTCATTCTCTTGAATTATTTCCATTTTTCTTGATTTCTAAGAGCAAATATCTCTTTAAAAATTACCATCTCTGGTCCCGAGGAACCGATCTGAAAGCCAAAATTTGAAAGACAAAAAACCAGAATTTTGTACGAATAAATTAAAAATTATATCTTATAAGTCCCTGTGAATGAAGATCTGTTTAAAACCTAATCCAGTGTCAGGTGACTTCGAGCTCAAAGTCACAGGGATCGGAAATAGAAAGGCCCCCACTACAGAAGGCAGATCCTGCCTGCCCTGGCTCACTGAAGACCTACCCGCTCCAGAAGGAATTGCTTGTTTTTGCCTGGGTGTTTTCTTCATGTATAAATAAAGATTATGAAAGGGCATTTGATGGGCATAAAATTCCTGATTAGATTGAACAGTCTTGCCTCGCTGGAGATAAGGAAACGTGTGCAGCGGAGTTCTAGGCAGCTTTCCTGGCCGAGACATGCAACAGACACAAATGCTGGAGCGCCAGGCTGGCGTCTCGGAGCTCTTGCGGCGAGTGAGTGCGGCGGGCACTCTGTGGAGCCCTGGGCACAATTCGATGCAGCTCAAAACAAGAACTCCACAACGTGAGGAAATAAATTTTGGGGCACTGATTAGTGGCTGCTAGTTTTGGACAGGATCTTAGCAAGTTAGAATCAAAAGGGGTGTGTGTGTGTGTGTGTGTGTGTGTGTGTGTGTGTGTGTGTGTGTGTTTTCCTGCTTTCCTCAACCCCCACCCTCAAGCTCAAAAATAACCACCCCTGTGGAAAGGTAATGTTTAAACCTCTAGCTAAGCCGGGGTGCTACAGCCTGAGCAGAGGCGCCAGGCTTTTAACCTGACAATGATGTTGTATTTGAACAGCTGCGTAAAGGTTTAAAAGGTCTGTCTCATTGCCACCGCGGAGTTTTTTAAAAGGGGTTATTGTTTGGGCGAGGGCACTGAGAGGAGACAAGCGAATCAGTCCCAAGGCTGAAAATAACGTTCAGTGCCTGTTTTCACCAGGCCAGGGGAAATTCTTTCTGGGGAGTGGGCACGAAGGATTTGTTGGGAAATGTTTTTGTGAAGGAGCATGCGGGCAATTAGGATCCCCCAGAATGCTGAAGTGCTTTAATGAGCAGCCGAGCCCAAAGAAATGTTTTGCTGAGGCAGAAACCCGATTTACCCACAAGTTCAGTCTCTGGGCCTGAAATCCAAGGCCAGCCCATTCCTGGGTGAATGTGGGGAGTAGAAAGCACAGATGCCTCTCGTACAGAGAGCTGGTTCATGGTCAATTTCCGGGGCCGTGTTACTTTCTTGGCTGCCGGGAAGGGTACCCGGAAGGCCGGAGGACGGCTCCCTCGAACTGGCAGGGCCCCTTGCCGTGGGCAAGACTTTGGAAATCAAGGTTAAAGCTCCCTGCTGCTGTCCAGAGGCCGGGGCTTCCGCAGGGCGGCTCACCCGCCTGCAACCAGAGACGGAGGGAGGAAGTTGTTCAAGTTTCTCATAAAACAGTTTCCATGGTGGTGGTGGTGGTGGTTGTTCTTTAATGAGCTGGACGACAACCGCACACCCTATCTTCTTTACAGAACTTTTTTTCACCAGAACAAACACAGGACTGCAAGTCCTCCATCTCCTTCTCCTTCCCTAGCAAAACCTTATCAAATAATTTTAAGGATTGCTCAAAACTATAAAACTCAACTTCTGACAAAAGTATTGCTTTTAATATTTGACGATTTGTGTTAAAACAAAAATTGACCTTCTTGGTTAGTAGCGATGGGAAAAAATCAATAGTATAATTTTCAATAATTCATAAAGCGAACGCCATTATGCTAAATCTTAACTATTAATCTTATCCTTTACAAAGTCTCGATTGATTTGTTAATAAAATATCTTCCCGTGTGTGGCAACAGCGGGTATAACTCTTTAAAAACCTTCAGAAGCAAGAAAATTACCAAGTAGCCCAAGAATGTAGATGAGAATTTTATTGATCGCCCTGATTCTTCTTAATATGTATTAATAAATTCCATAACCTTTTGTACCTTACACTTGTCAGAAACCAATGCTTTTACAAAATCCATAAAAGGAAAACATATTTTTCTTCCTAGAAGAACCAAATGACACCTTTGTATTCCTCTCCCTCTTGCCTGGCCCCGTCACTTTCCTAAAACTTCTGGAGTCTGAGGGTCAGAGTTTTCCTCTCTGCTTTCAAAAATGTTCTTTCTCCCTTTCTCCCTCTCTGCCCTCTGCCCTCAGGGGTAAGGAAGGAAATTTTGGTTTAGTCCTCCCGCAGGGAGTCACTGGGACGCTCTCGCGGGTAGGGACTGCTGGCGAAGGATTGTCTCGGGACTGAAAGCTCCCAGCACCGGCCCGGCCCCGCAAAGGTCAGGGTGTGGTTCCTCCGAGAGCTGGGAGTTCTCGTAGCTCGCGGGGTGCGGGGGGCTCTGGGCAGGGGCGGCGGGGCCGGGAGAGGAGACGGCTGGGCCGGCCCAGCCCCTGGGCAGCGGGGCCGGCCAGCTCCGTGGCCTCTCGGCCCTCGCGGCCTTTTACGCCGTCGCTTCCTGGGACACCTTGGTCGCGTCTTCGCGCGAGGGCTCTTCCCTTTGGACCCCTAGCGTGGGATGTCTCGGGAGCAGGGGAATCGGACTCACCTTCCCCGGCTTCCCAGTACTAAGATCACCAGCCCGCGCCCCCATTCCCTGCCCCGGACCCGGCCCTCTTGCGCGCGTTCTGCCTGGGCGTGTGCAGGGAAATGCTTCTGTGTGTGCTGGCGCCACGGCGCTCTGGCTTCCCTCCCTGCGCGTGTCCTCCCGGACGCCCCTCCGACCAAGCCTTTCCTTCCGCCGGCGGGGCCCGACTGCTAGGGCGGGGGGCGCGAGTGGGGCAGGCAGGCTGGGCCGAGCAAGCCCCGGGGAGGCGGGCGGGTGGGCGCGCGGCGGAGAGCTCTGGGCCGGTTGTCTGAAGCGCGCACTATCACCGACGCGTAGTAGATGTCGCTGTTGTCCGTGCTTACGCGGCCGGCCAGCCGGGCTCTGGAGCACGTGACCTGCGAGGAGGCTGCGGCTCAAGGCCATTTTCAAATCTCATTGGCTTGGTTGTCATGTGGTCGGCAGAGGCATCCACAATTACACGGGGAATGTTTTCCTAGAGATGTCAGCCTACAAAGGACACAATCTCTCTTCTTCAAATTCCTCCCCAAAATGTCCTTTCCCAACAGCTCTCCTGCTGCTAATACTTTTTTAGTAGATTCCTTGATCAGTGCCTGCAGGAGTGACAGTTTTTATTCGAGCAGCGCCAGCATGTACATGCCACCACCTAGCGCAGACATGGGGACCTATGGAATGCAAACCTGTGGACTGCTCCCGTCTCTGGCCAAAAGAGAAGTGAACCACCAAAATATGGGTATGAATGTGCATCCTTATATACCTCAAGTAGACAGTTGGACAGACCCGAACAGATCTTGTCGAATAGAGCAACCTGTTACACAGCAAGTCCCCACTTGCTCCTTCACCACCAACATTAAAGAAGAATCCAATTGCTGCATGTATTCTGATAAGCGCAACAAACTCCTTTCTGCCGAGGTCCCTTCGTACCAGAGGCTGGTCCCCGAGTCCTGTCCCGTTGAGAACCCCGAGGTTCCTGTCCCTGGATATTTTAGACTGAGTCAGACCTACGCCACCGGGAAAACCCAAGAGTACAATAACAGCCCCGAAGGCAGCTCCACTGTCATGCTCCAGCTCAACCCTCGTGGCGCGGCCAAGCCACAGCTCTCGGCTGCCCAGCTGCAGATGGAAAAGAAGATGAACGAGACCGCGAGCGGCCAGGAGCCCACCAAAGTCTCCCAGGTGGAGAGCCCCGAGGCCAAAGGCGGCCTTTCTGAAGAGAGGAGTTGCCTGGCTGAGGTCTCCGTATCCAGTCCTGAAGTGCAGGAAAAGGAAAGCAAAGGTCGGTATGAGCAGAGTTGCCACCCCAGCGGGGCGCGCAGTCCGGGAACCGGCAGAGAGGGAGCGCTTGGGCGCCCAGCGCAGAGCCCAGGCAGCCAAGACGGGTGCCCGACTTGGCAGGTGGTGCTTTGCCCAGCTTTTGGAGGGGAGATCTCAGTCTTGAGGTGGTCCCTGCTTCTCTCCCACTGCCTGGCCACCCCAAGCCCCATGCTGATGGCGCCTGGGGAAGAGAAAAGGCTTGCCGGGCTTGCTTTTCCTGAACTAGACCTGAAATGCAACAAAAGAGGCAAAAGAGACCCGCGGCTCATAAACAGGGCCCCAGAGCCTCCTTTCTCCTTGGTCAGATTTGCAGTCCTAGTTTTGCCTGGCACTCAATGATTGTTTAAGGCAGTCCAAGGCACCGTGTTTGTGTCTAAGTGCATGCACCCCGCATCCTGCGAGCGTGGGGGAACGAGATGGTTAGGCCACTTGGCACTTGGATGGGAGGAAAGGTCGTCCTGCCTATACAGGGGTAGGTAACCTTGGCTTTGTCTGGGGGAAAGTGCCGCAGGCTTTCCCATCATCTACAAAGGAGGCAAGGGCAGGGGGAGAACGCAACTGCATAGCCCACTTTGCAGGGCCAGCCTTACGGTTGGACTGAGGCAGAGCCAGGGATCTGGGTATTTGAGAAGAAACCCTGTCCCCTGAGCCTCTCCCCCATGCCCAGAGGTGGGCCACCTTAGGGGTTACAGTGCTGGGGAATGCTTTTGTGTGGACGAAGAAGGCAGGCATGAGAATTTAGGAAATTCTGGTGGAGTGCAACAATGCTCAGGCAGGGTGGAGAAGATATCCTTGTTTCCTCATTTATTTTTTTGAGAAAGAATAGATAACATATCCACAAACCTGGCTGTTAGGGTCCTGCTTGCCTGGCAATGGTGAGGAAGAAGCAGCAGACTTAGGGACCTAAGCTGCTGTGGGGCTAGTAGGCTTGTCCAGGCTGTGGCTCCATTCACTCCCGCCCTGTCATAAGCTAGCCACTTAGAAGGTTGTTGGGGAAGATCCTAGAAAGTTTACCATTATACTTATGTTTTGTGCAAGTCAGAAAGTTCTGTGTGTGTGTGTGTGTGTGTGTGTGTGTGTGCGCACGAGAGAGAGAGAGAGAGAGAGAGAGAGAGAGAGAGAGAGAGAGAGACCCCAAGAGTGCATCCTCCCAAAGAGTGCATTCTGTCACTTTGGGCATTTCAAATTTGGCATCAGTTGAAAAGCTCTTCTGGGGCCAACCTCTGTAATGTTTAATACCATCATTGCCCAAAGAGGCCTGCTTGCCACTAGGGTCATGGCCAAGGGTATACTGGAACAAACTGAGAAAAAAAATTTGATTTTTTTTTCTTCCTTTAATTTTGTTAGAGGAAATCAAGTCTGATACTCCAACCAGCAATTGGCTCACTGCAAAGAGTGGGAGGAAGAAGAGGTGCCCTTACACTAAGCACCAGACGCTGGAATTAGAGAAAGAGTTCTTGTTCAATATGTACCTCACCCGCGAGCGCCGCCTAGAGATCAGTAAGAGCGTTAACCTCACCGACAGGCAGGTCAAGATTTGGTTTCAAAACCGCCGAATGAAACTCAAGAAGATGAGCCGAGAGAACCGGATCCGAGAACTGACCGCCAACCTCACCTTTTCTTAGGTCCGAGGCCGGTGGGAGGCCAGGATCAGAGAGGGGGCACCGTGTTCCAGGGCCCAGTGCTGGAGGACTGGGAAGGCGGAAACAAACCTTCATTGCTCTTTGTTTTTTGTTTTGTTTTGTTTTGTTTTGTTTTCCTGTTAGAATGTGACTTTGGGGTTATTCTGTTCGTGCTGCAAGTGATCTGTAATCGCTGAGTATATATATATATATATATTAAAAAAAACTTAGCACGTGTAATTTATTATTTTTTCATCGTAATGCAGGGTAACTATTACTGCGCATATTCATTTGGGTCTTAACTTATTGGAAATGTAGAGCATCCATCTAACCATCCATCCATACTTCCAAGCAATGTGACTTTTTCATGTTTTTTCCTACGCAAAAGTTCCCTGTGTGTGGTTAGTCCACGAACTCATGGCATTTTGGATACATCCAGTACTTTTAAATTACACACCTCTATATTTAAGAAAACCCACAAGCTTAGGGGGGAGGGGGACTTTTAAAAAAGCACATTATAATGTATCTTTTCACAAATGAACTTAGCAATTGTTCTTGGTGAGATGGAATATTGACGACTTATGCCTTGTAGCCTTTCCCTTGTGGTGCATCTGTGGTTTGGTAGAAGTACAACAGCAACCTGTCCTTTCTGTGCATGTTCTGGTGGCATGTATAATGCAATAAACTCTGGAAATGAGTTTGCTCCCTCTGCTTTCTAAAATCGAAATATGTTATGGTGGAAATGAGAGCCTTTGAGAAGGTTCTTTTCTGGGTAAACTGCCAGTTTGGGGCAGTCGGGTGGGGGAGTGACAGAAGGCAAGAAAAGGGTGATGGAGAGAAAAACTGGAGGGGGCCTAGGATGACGCTGGGATTTGGCAGGAGTTGAGGGGAGAGGGGTGATAATCCAGCTTTGGTGTGCAGTTTTCCTAACTGGTTAGAGGGGAGCCCTCTCTCTTTCAGCCCCTAATCACAGTGACATATTTGTACCCTCACTGGGCTCAAGCGTCTCTCTAGTTGGAGCCTGGTAAGTAAGCCTGTACCCAAAGCCACTTTTTCCTCCCAGCACCCTATATGTGTGTTTTCTTCTCTTTGGCTTTAGTTCTGTTATTTTTAATGCTTTCAGTGAGATCTTGATGACTTCTGGCTGGGGAGCCATCAGCAGGGGCTAGGTTGAAACTAGTCTTGCCCACCTGGAAGCTGCCGGGCCTCCATTACAGCAGCAAGGACAACCAGCAGTGTAGCGTGGCACTGGATCCAATTTTTCCCCTTTGCTCATCCCCAACCCTATCCCAAGCGCAAGACAGCGAGACCAAGGATAGGTGAGTTTTCTCATCCCACTCTGCCTTGGTTTCCCTGTGGAGGCATTTTCTGTTGTCATTGCCTTTTAGTGGCTCACGAATCTTTTTCAAATGAAAAGATTATCCCCAGACAAACCACCTACTATTTAATTACAAAATGTTGATGGCTGCTGTATCTGAGAGGCAAGAAAATGCAGAAAAGGTAACCGCAAGAGAATTTGCAAGCGAACGTGGCTTCCTATGAAGTCCAATGCTCCACGTACAGCCATGGCTTGGGAAATTCCCACCAACTTCTACAGAATTCCCACCAGAGAGCCCGGATTTATCTACTGCTGCTGGGGAAAGGAAGTTGAGAAGCTTTAGGGGTGTGTGGTGGGGAACTGATAGAGGATTCGTTGCCCCAGGTCCTTCCTTCAATTTCAAAGGGTCTCTAATGGCTCCAAGAGTTTCATAAAATGGGTCCTTTCCAGTCTCCCTATATCCTCCCCTAAGAAGCATCCATTAGGGCTCTGAGCCTCAGAGCCTCATCCAGGCAGCCTTTGGGACATTCAGTATTTAATCAGTTCTAAACTTCCACCCCTTTGGGAAGATCCTTCCTAAGTTCCAAGACAGAAGCTTTAGGGGTATCACTTTCTGGGGATGGGCACGAGAGAGATGAGATTCATTGCTGGGCTGTGACCACTGAAATATTTTGCCTCAGATTTACATTGGTTGGGCACAAGAAGGAGGGTGATTTTAACTTTACCCTTTTCTCCCAGCGATGTGGGGAGCGCCATTAGTTGTTGAGAGGGGGCCTTGTCACGGAGGGAAACCTGTGCTACAGGAAAGGGCAGTCCCTCTGAAACAAAATCAGAAAGCCTTTGGCAAAGGCAATCAATCAGGCCATAAGCAGCCATTTACCCCCTTTCTTTCCGGGGCTGGAGGTGGGCTGGGAGCCCTCCAAGGGTGCTGGGCAACTTGTGGAGTGCGGAATATGCCCTCCGCCGCCGCTGTCGCCCTTGCCGCTTTTGTCTCAGCTCTCAGCCGGGCTTCAGAGGCTTTGTACCATGGATTTGGGAGTGACAATGGGCATCTCCTTCAGATTCAAGGCTGCCCAGCCCTTACCTCAGGAGACAAGAAAAAAAAAATTAGAAAGGGAGTGGCCCTAGGCCTTGGCCACTCGGATTTTTCAGACATCTTGAGAATCCACTTGGAGGCCTCCAGGGCTGGAGGGGCCAGCGGTCCCGAGGGTGGAGGCACGGCTCCGTCGGCCTCACTGTAGAAGGGCCCTGAAGGTGGCGGCGGGGGTAGCGGCCCGGGCTGGCGTTGGGGTTCTCGCCTTTGTGACATGTTCTCTTCCAGGGCCTCCCTAGCAGCTCGGAGAAGAAGAGGCACCCAGGCCACTGTCAGCGCCCGCCCTGCGCACCCGACTGCCCACCGCCCACAGGCCCTCCCAAGGGCGGACACGGCCACCGCGCCCGGCTGGGCCCGGCCCCAGAGCCAAGCCTCTCGGCCCCCGGCCGCGCGTGTGCCCTTCTCACGTCGAGGGTGTGTGGCTGCGCGGGCGTGTGTGAGTGTGCAGGGGGCGGGGGCCCTCCGAGCTGCTCCATCCGTCCGTTTTATTAGGGACACATTAATCTATAATCAAATACACCTCATAAAATTTTTATTGAAAGGCATAATATCATTACAGAGGTCTTCCACCTGTTTTAAACAACACGACAAGCTGTGCGAGCGCGTGTGAGGCTACGCGTGGGGAGGGCTGGGTTTAGCCCTGCGAGCGAGCGGGAGCAGCAGCGCTCCCCCGGGCGCCAGGGGCCGCCCCTGCCGCAGCCCGCTGGCTTCGGGCGCCCGGG